AAGGTAGGTACAGGAAACAGACTTTTTAGGCTTCGTCAAATATGATACAGATTAAGTTACATATGCAGCATGACATATTATTTTCAATGTAAGTTAAGCAGGATGTATTTCCCTTAATATACACTTAAGTTATCAAGGATGTACAATAAAGCTTTGATTCGACCTAAAGAACACAACAGCACTAAGGACTATTATACTACTACATGTATATTGTAAAACAAAATACTGCAATGATATTTGTAATAATACTTTTAGTTTGTTTGTGTTTTATGTCCTATTAACAGCTATGGTCATTTAAGGACGTGCCAGGTTTTGGTGGTGGAGGAAAGCCGGAGTTCCCGGAGAAAAACCACCGACCTACGGCCAGTACCCTAATAATACACTGATTGATATGGCAATATATCTTGATACTACTTTTGACTATTGCGACACCCCAGGCACATTCCCTAGTGATGGTATACCCTCAGTAATGAAGGGGTTTCATCTATACGTATATGTCGTCTATAATTGAAACCCTAGTGTCCCCACAATGGAGTGATGGGTGAATCAGTACGTTAGAGACCATATTGTCCCCTACAACGGAGTGATGGGTGCACCAGTACTACAACGGAGTGATGGTTGCACCAGTACTACACCAAAATGATGGGTGCACCAGGACTACAACGGAGTGATGGGGGCAGCTGTACATTTGAGACCCTAGTGTCCCATACAACGGAGTGATGGTTGCACCAGTACTACAGCAGAGTGATGGGTGCTCCAGTACTACAACAGAGAGATGGGTGTACCAGTACTCCAACAGAGTGATGGGTGTACCAGTACTACAACAGAGTGATGGGTGTACCAGTACTATAACAGAGTGATGGGTGTACCAGTACTACAACAGAGTGATGGGTGCACCAGTACTACAACAGAGTGATGGGTGTACCAGTACTACAACAGAGTCATGGGTGCACCAGTACTACAACAGAGTGATGGTTGCACCAGTACTACAACGGAGTTATGGGTGCACCAGTACTACAACGGAGTGATGGGTGCTCCAGTACTACAACGGAGTGATGGGTGCACTAGTACTACAACGGAGTGATGGGTGCACCAGTACATTTGAGACCCTAGTGTCCCCTACAACGGAGTGATGGGTGCACCAGTACTTCAACGGAGTGATGGGTGCACCAGTACTACAACAGAGTGATGGGTGCACCACTACGTTTGAGAAGATTAGCTTCTGTTTTGTATAATAAGTATGTACAGGCTGTTGAGTCATTTCTAAAATCTGTGATTTTTTTTCGGTCTGAGAAATTAGGCATATGAAATTTCCTAAGAAGGAAAACAAGAACGAGCGGCAATATTATACCAAGTCACATGGCAACAATTTACACCAAAGTATGTACACTTACCGATATATTTGAATGGCTTTCCTAGTTTTGTGAGCTGGTTGAGACACTGCTCCACTACATTAGATGTCCACTGGTTTACCTTGTTGTGCTGATAAGCATTGCCACCTATTGCACCCTCAATGGACTAAACACAAAATGAAACATAGTTTTGATATTATAATAATATAATATGCATAAACTTGTTGAAATACTAGATCTAGAACTGAAATACATATTTACCGAGACAAATTATCAAAGGTTAATCTTTTATACTACATGTATTGCCAACAACCAATTTTCCTTGGTGGTAAAGTATTTGTTTTTGAAATTCTTCCAGTTGATACCTCTCATTACTTTTTTTCAATTAACCAGGGCATTCTGATTTGCTGAGACGGCAAGAGTAAACCGTTGATTATGTACAAGTACAAATGTAAGTTCAATTACGTGTCATTTTGAAAATATCTGCAAGTAACTTTTCACATTTTCTTGGAAAATTGACAACTTTAAAGTGTCCACAGGTGTGGCAACAGTTTTGCTGGTGGTGATCAGAGATATGTGGGGAAGTCTTTTATATTTTATGCTGACAATTGTACATAATAACAGTGTTTTTGTTATCTAAATTTTACAACAGCCTGTTCCTTTATGAATTGGGAAAATAAAGCATTATTTGTATTGAAATTGGGAATATATTCCTCAGTCATTGGTCATTTTGGGAAAGTAAGGCACTTTTTAGCTAGGAGGAAACAGCCTGTATTCGGCAGTAAAACTAAGCAAAAATAATCGCTGAATAAAACCATACTCTCCAAGGGTGATAAAAATGACAGGAGGTGCCAGGTTTTGGAGGTAGAGGAGGTGATAAAAATGACAGGAGGTGCCAGGTTTTGGTGGTAGAGGAAAGCGGGAATGTGTAAAAAGTTATTGTTTTTCAGCAACAAAGTATTGAAAAAGCAGTTCTATCTATTTTCAGTGATTTATAAGGGTGACTCTGGGACCTATAAGGTCTATAAGGCCCCTTCCACTAGCCTAGGTCATTTCTCCTGTATTTTTCCCAAACCGATGTAAAAATCGCTTTATTTCCCAAATTCATACTTTTTGTGTGATAAAGCTAAGTCACAAAGCACAGGCCCTTGTTAAAAAGATGCAAAAAAATTACTGATTTTAGAGAAACATGTTATCCCAATAGAGATGAAAGTTTGACTCTAAAAATAAACTTGATAATGTATGATACAATGATGCACATGATAGTGTCTATATACATCAATCAGCCGATTGATACTAGCAGTTTGTGGGGGGGGGGGGGGTCCTTTTTCAGCATGGGTTGCTGATGCCCCGACAGTCTGATAGTAATCTGATGTGTGTACTCCATGTTTCCTATATTCCAATGACCACCAACTTTCTACCTATTTTTGTTTCCTTAGCCAATACTTACCTCTTTGATTATGTTTGTTACTTCATCTGTTACAAAGGCAGTCTGAAAAAAATAAAAAAAAGTATTTGACAAAACTTTGATTTTAGTCTTCAATTTAAATTCCATGAAATCAACTCCAATATTTTGGGCATTCCTCTTGGAAAGTTTAAGCTGAATATTCACCCCAACATTAACTGGATGCAAATGACTTGATAAGCATTCCTATCCAATTGCAGACAACATACTTAAGGGAGTTCTAGTTCTTGTATGTACAGTAATTACCAGCTCCTAACAGCATTTTAGATTAACTGTAGCGTGACCAGGTAGCTCTTTCAAAAGAGCAACAGTATATTGATCAAAGGTTTAGAGTTTTAACCCAGTTCTCATCTGTTGCATTTTTACAGTCAGAACACTACTGTTTTTGTTTTATTCAATTTCATCTTAATTATCTTCCATGAAATGTTTGCAGGCTATGGTGGTTTTTTTCTTCTAATCTATGTAATAGGACGAGGAAAAGTGATAAAGATAGTGCCGTCGCTTGGGCTCGGACCCACGACCCTTGGCTCTCCAACCTGATGCTCTACCACTGAGCTAAAGGGAAATTCCCTACAGCTGACGCTTGTAAGGCAACCTAATCAATGCACACCTTTTACACTATTCCCCCCTTTTTTCAAACACCAACCCAGGTTCTTTGACTCCCCGTCAAGGGTTCTCCTACCTGGAAAGGGGAGGGTCAACGGCACCAGTTTGTAATATGACGAGGAATAGTGATAAAGATAGTTCCGTCGCTTGGGCTCGAACCCGCGTCCCTTGGCTCTCCAGCCCAATGCTCTAACACTGAGCTAAAGGGAAATTCCCTACAGCTGATGCTTGTAAGGCAACCTAATCAATGCACATCTTTTACACTTATAATATATATATATATAGTTACCCAGGTACATCGTTTTTCAGTGTTACATAGATCCTGAAAAATTTCAGAACAGTTTCATTGGACCTCTACTAAAACTTTCTTTTTAACAACATGCCCACAGATCTGAATATGTTGCTACATTGTAGTACTGTAAGAAATTCTCAATTCAAATGTGCAACTTTTTGTTAAAATTAGCCAATTTTTTACTTATGATGTCATGTAACAATGCTATACGACGTCATCTTCCATTTGTGACGTCATGATTCAAGGCAATTGTTTCCCCCCATCGGAAGCTGACATAGTGTATTTTTCAGGGAAACAAGGGCTTTCCAGATACAATTTACAAATATGAACGTTATGGGAGAAAAAGGACCCCAAACTTGTGATGGTTGAATATCGTGTTTATCTAACTCTTGTTAGTTAATTTTAAAATTGTAAAAGACACACAGTAAACTTTGTGTCTTTATACAATTTGAAAATTAACTATAACTCGAGTTAGATAAACATGATAACCAACCATCACTCGTTGGGGAACCACTATATATAACTACATCCATATACTCATATTTGCCGACTATTAGTTGCGTCTACAGCGACCAACACTGCTTCTGTACTTTATATTGAGAAAATACTCAGTTCTATTTTTGCTAGCATGATTTGTTTTGTGGCAAGAACTGGTACTAGGAATGGGTCACAAACAAGTAGAGATAGTTAACGGTGGAGATAGTTAAAACCATTTTCACAAGAAAATTAGACATCAGAATTTTGGTGTAAAATTGTACCTCATAGGCTCATAAAATTGTTGATTTTAGGGGTGTAAGAGGATTATAGGGAACAATTTTTGAGCACATATATCTGCCTCAAATTAAAGGGGGTATTGTGTGTATACAGTAGTATCTTCTAACCCATCATTGTTTCGAGGCATGTAACTATGGTTGGAGTACCATGATGAGGGCCAACCTGTAGAATTTGACTGACCACAATCTGTGTGACTATTTCTACTATAAACACCTGATTAATCAAGTCAGCATCTACATTAGCTCAAGTTGGTCCATAAGATCTGTAAAGCATTATTAACTCAAAACTAGGGACAAGTAACCGTATTCAGCCTCACAAATAAATCGTGTCTGTGTCAGATCATAACCACAACACTTTGGTCGTCCCAAAACCGAACCGACTGAAATAGACTCGTTGTTAAAAAAGTTAATTTGAAAAAGACTAAATTTCATACTTAATACAAACACTAAGTAAATACCTCTTCTCCGGTCTGGAATTCATCCATTTTGACAGTGTGTTCGACAAGATTGTCTAATATTTGCGATAAGTGACAGGAACAATCTTGCTGGTCTCGTTGACAACAAACTCTCGAACCGTCTGAGAACAGGGCGAGACAAAGGGCGATAACTCCTACCTTTACTTTGACTTCACGCACCTGCTTCGTTCAATCAGACCAAATCAATAGAGATTTTTTTTTAGATTAACCTCTATTCCCTTAATGGATATATAACGGACTGTGGAAAGATGTAACAGGTCTCCCTGTGTAGTTTCTGGTAACTTCATTTTACACAAATTTCCCAAGTTCAGGCAGTCTCCGATTTTGATGAGAAAACTAATGCAAAAAAATACTTTGACAAACTTTGAATATCAACATCTTCTATAACAACGAGTACTATATAAATATATATATACATATAAATTAAAAGTATCTCAACACCAACTAAAGTAGGACATCTATTTCCATAAATTTGAGAAACGTACGAGAATGTCATTCTGTTGCAGTTAGTGTACGTGAGAACAGGGCGAGAACATGCAGTTAGTGTGATGTTCACATGTGATTGTTTGCTTCAATTAAACTATTTTCAGACGAACTCGATCAGATATCTCAGTATAATCAAGCTAGTTATAGAAACTACTAAAATCTAACATTAGGGATTTTTTCCCTTTTTTGGGACCGAGAAAACTATTTCTTGCGGCAACCAGGGACGTATAATATACTGTCCCTGCGGCAACATAATTTATTTTTAGCTTTTCAAAAAGATGGATTTCGATGTTGCACAGAATAGAAAAAGGACTAATTTATCTGACTGGGAGAAAATATTTTTTTAATGTAACATCTAACTCTTGTATAACATTGGAATATGTGGCCTTTATAGGTGCAATCACATGTACGTGAGTTACGTTCATTTCTCGTGATACAAGATGGTAGACTCTGCTGGTGGATGTTTTATTCTCCCACACTTCATAGGTACGTTCCCGTTTTTGGTTGGGAAAAGATAAACCTGTCTTCACGCTCTATTACGTCACAGACAACGCGCTTCTTTAATTTAATTCTTTATTTATTTTACGAGGATTACAAACAGCCCGAAGGCTACTAGATGCTCTCCTCAACATATATCAAACATACAATATGTACAATTACACAAAAGACGTACAAAAGTAGCGCACACTTGCACTCACACATACACACATTACACAGAGAGAGAGAGAGAGAGAGAGAGAGAGAGAGAGAGAGAGAGAGAGAGAGAATCTGTTTCTTTCTTTCTTCCTTTCTTTAGCAAAACCGATTACATCATCACTTTTTACTCACATGTACAACAACAAAAAACGGTAAGCTCAGCATTCCGACAGTTCTAACTAGGCGAATGTGTTCCCGTAGGAAAATATGGTGAAAAGGGAAGAATTGTTGCTGAATTTAATTGATGATAGTTCGGTATATTGGGGTCAAAAATACAACTTTGCAGTGAAGGTATTTTTTACGGTATGAAAATGTGGGAGAAAAATAATCTATCACTCCTGTGTGATGTAGACAGTGATATCTCAACCCTCGGGATGAGATATTTTTTAGGTTAGGTTTAGCACGAGACTTCACATAAGAAAATATATCTCACCCTCTGGTTGAGATATCTCTGTCTACATCACACAGGAGTGATAGATGCTATTAGTCCCCGGGGTTTGTCGTAATCTTGATGGCCACTGTTATCTCTTTTGAGTAATGGCATGGTTCGTGATACATACTTTACTAATGTTGATTTGAAACTAACCTGTACTATCAAGGCATTTTACGCACCTCTCCTACCTTATTAAATTGTAAATATCCACCTTGTTACAAGTAACCCCTAGCATAACTCTATGAGGCTAAAACTGCGACGGAACGTGTTCAGCGGTATAGTGCGGAGTACATAAATATAATTCATTTTGGCAAATTTAATAGGTACACTCGCATACGTGTGTGTCATAGGCTCATCTTTCAAGTAAAAGGTGGTAAATTCTGCTGGTGGAAATTTGGTTCAAGAGATTTTTAGTAACCTTGATAGCCACAAATATCTCTTTTGAGTAATGGCCCGGTTTATGGTTACACTATACTAATGACACACCTACAGTATGTCTATTTCACGTCCTATAAAGGGAACGAGAGATGTTAGTTCTGAAGATTTTTTTATTACCGCAATCAGTCATAACGAGGCAACGTCGTTTCTTTACCAATTTTAAGTTTTTACAACATTTCTAGGGAAAAGAAATACCATGCATGTTTTCGACTGTTAAACAAGCAAAAACTCTACAAAACAATTGTGACGTTTTTACAATTAGTTAGATATGATAGAGATATCAGCAAAGCAATACCAATATTGGTTTGTTATCCAACAAATATGACAGTATTCTACTAATCATTTAAGTTGAAAATTAGTTATTAGATAAAATTGGTTTTGAAAAAAATGTAACCAAGTTTTCACAATATTATGATAAATGTAGGTAACTGTTTGATTAAAATCTACTTACATAATATATAGGTTTTTTAATTATGAATAATAGAAATAACATATTTCAAAGTCTGTTAGAGTCAGTCAAATAATATAATCTTGTAATTATACTGATGATTTCGAGACAAGTTTCAATTAAAACTTTCGCCAAGTACTGTCATGTCGGGGGATCTTACCGTACGCAGATTAGCTATAAGCATCGTCAATTCGTGTTCATGGACTGTGACTTAAGCCACCAGTATAAAGGACAAGACAGTCCACGAGAGGAAGAATATACTGGATGACCGGTAAAAATGGGCAGGGGACATTTTTGTCTTTCTTTAATTTGAGAATTATACATTCTTGGTCGTGTAGCTGTCTTTAAGTGATTTTTGTAATTGTTTATATGTTAATTCATCTGTGGGTCGTAATTCAAGATTAAATGTAAACTTTAAATGTTGTTACAAAAATTAACTTTTAAATGGCAAAAAAATGACAAAAAAGACTTCTCACCATAAACTTTCTTTGTAATAGAAGGTCGTTCGTAACAAACCAAGCCAACACCCAAACACGATTAGTTTACCAACAACAGAGGCGAGCGGAAGGCCATGGATAAAATTAACTTGGAACATCATAGAAAGACACCGATGACAACAACGAAATGAAATGACAAAACTATAAATCTGATAATTTATTTATTCCGAGGTCGTTTATTCATCAAGGAGTTACATGCCCCTACATTCCGTACTTGCTATGCATGTATTACATGTAGAAAGTTGATTAGACAACATCAGACAGTATACCGGGTATGTGACCGTTGGGCAAACGTTTAGAGGTTATTTCAGACCAACGCTTGCTCAACATTTTACACCACTGTACTAACATTGCGTCAACGTTGATATAACGTTTGATGAAAAATATGAATAAATAAACAAATAAATGAATGAATAAATAATGGGTCTAAACGATTGTTTAAAGCACTTATGATCCATGTTAACTGTCAACCTTTCTGCACCATCAACGAACCACTCCAAATGTAGGACGGAATTCACAAATCGATATACAGCAAATTAAAGTACATGACAGAAAGAGTGAACTGGGATTCCACACATATCGCTGTTTGTAATTAAAACACATTTGAAAGCTGAAGTCGAGTCGATGAGACTAAGGGCGTGTAAGATACACTAACCCTGCAACCTCAACCCTAGTACTAATATTAATACCCGGTAGGACGCAATATATAAAAAAAATCTTGTCGTCAGAAAGCTACGTGATCGCAGCTACCCCAGAGACATATAGTATATACGTCTCTAGCTACCCCAACCCCCAAATAAACCCCGATTACTATAGCATGAGCTGTCTGTTAACAGACCTCCGCATCTTTTCTTTGTCTCCCAGAAACATGTTTGTTAATTGTTCATTGTCAGTTTTGACTCCAGGTACAACAACCACCTCCACGGGCTCGTCCTGTATGATCCGGACCTGTTTTACTCGCTGATACACAGGTGGGTTGTCTATCGCGTCATAATCAACATCGTCAGATTTAAAAGCAACACAAAAGTAGGAGCACGCGCGAGTCCACGGATAGATGCAGCACCTACACGTCATGTGACAACACTTTTGAAAAGCTTCTTTACATGTGATTTTGATGATTTTCATAAATGGTGAAATGAACCACACATGTTCGAAAGCAACACATCCGAACTGGCAGCCCCAGAGTCCCGCGATCCACACCCCTAGGAATGTACTTAGGAGACAGTAGTGTAGATCACGACAACAGGCGTAAGCGATAGAAGCAAAGTCCCATATACATCCAAGACTATGTGTCCCATTGGGCTCTGCAAGCGTGTCCGTGTACCGAACCTGTAACAAAATAAAATAAGTAATTAGCCTGTATGACGTCTACACTATTGTTGCATTTTCAATTCCTCTGTTTGTAATACATTGTGTGACAATGAAATCAATTAAAACGAAATCTTATGTTTACGTATATTGTGTAATAATCTGATATCGCATTTTTAGTTAGATCTGTTTGCATTGTGTAATATATGTTATTCATATTAAAATGTAACAAAGGTCATTGTTATTCCAATGCTCCCGTTTGAGGTCGACTTTGTTTGCCAGTCGAATGCTCTACAAAATGAGCTAAGGAGAAAGCGGCTACTATCCTAAAAAGATAATAAAAAACATATTTTTGCGATTTAGGTTTTAACGTGATTTGCCATCATCTTCAAGAATAGATTGTGTCCCTCTCCTCCGTTACCCCTCCGCACACTACACATTATAGATTGTGTCCCTCTCCCCCGTTAATCCTCCGCCCATTACACATTATATATTGTGTCCCTCTCCCCGTTACCCCTCCGCACACTACACATTATATATTGCGTTCCTCTCCCCGTTACCCCTCCGCACAATACACATTATAGATTGTGTCCCTCTCCCCCGTTAATCCTCCGCCCATTACACATTATATATTGTGTTCCTCTCCCCCGTTACCCCTCCGCCCACTACACATTATATATTGTGTTCCTCTCCTCCGTTACCCCTCCGCACACTACACATTATATATTGCGTTCCTCTCCCCGTTACCCCTCCGCACAATACACATTATAGATTGTGTCCCTCTCCCCGTTACCCCTCCGCACACTACCCATTATAGATTGTGTTCCTCTCCCCCGTTACCCCTCCGCACATTACACATTATATATTGTGTTCCTCTCCCCCGTTACCCCTCCGCCCATTACACATTATATATTGTGTCCCTCTCCCCCGTTCCCCCTCCGCCCATTACACATTATATATTGTGTTCCTCTCCCCCGTTACCCCTCCGCACATTACACATTATATATTGTGTTCCTCTCCCCCGTTACCCCTCCGCAGACTACACATTATATATTGTGTTCCTCTCCTCCGTTACCCCTCCGCACACTACACATTATATAGTGTGTTCCTCTCCCCGTTACCCCTCCGCCCACTACACATTATAGCTTGTGTTCCTCTCCCCCGTTACCCCTCCGCATACTACACATTATAGATTGTGTCCCTCTCCCCCGTTAATCCTCCGCCCATTACACATTATATATTGTGTTCCTCTCCCCCGTTACCCCTCCGCCCACTACACATTATAGCTTGTGTTCCTCTCCCCCGTTACCCCTCCGCACATTACACATTATATATTGTGTTCCTCTCCCCCGTTTCCCCTCCGCCCATTACACATTATATATTGTGTTCCTCTCCCCCGTTTCCCCTCCGCCCATTACACATTATATATTGTGTCCCTCTCCCCCGTTCCCCCTCCGCCCATTACACATTATAGATTGTGTTCCTCCCCCCCGTTTCCCCTCCGCCCACTACACATTATATATTGTGTTCCTCTCCTCCGTTACCCCTCCGCACACTACACATTATATATTGCGTTCCTCTCCCCGTTACCCCTCCGCACAATACACATTATAGATTGTGTTCCTCTCCCCCGTTACCCCTCCGCATACTACACATTATAGATTGTGTTCCTCTCCTCCGTTACCCCTACGCACACTACACATTATATATTGTGTTCCTCTCCCCCGTTACCCCTCCGCATACTACACATTATAGATTGTGTCCCTCTCCCCCGTTACCTCTCCGCACACTACACATTATAGATTGTGTTCCTCTCCCCCGTAACCCCTCCGCACACTACACATTATAGATTGTGTCCCTCTCCCCGTTACCCCTCCGCCCATTACACATTATATATTGTGTTCCTCTCCCACGTTACCCCTCCGCCCACTACACATTATATATTGTGTTCCTCTCCCCCGTTACCCCTCCGCACAATACACATTATAGATTGTGTCCCTCTCCCCCGTTACCTCTCCGCACACTACACATTATAGATTGTGTCCCTTTCCCCCGTTACCCCTCCGCACACTACACATTAGAGATTGTGTTCCTCTCCCCCGTTACCCCTCCGCATACTACACATTATAGATTGTGTCCCTCTCCGCCGGTGCGCCTCCGCACACTACGCATTATAGATTGTGTCCCTCTCCCCCGTTACCCCTCCGCACACTACACGTTATAGATTGTGTTCCTCTCCCCCGTTACCCCTCCGCATACTACACATTATAGATTGTGTCCCTCTCCGCCGGTGCGCCTCCGCACACTACGCATTATAGATTGTGTCCCTCTCCCCCGTTACCCCTCCGCACACTACACGTTATAGATTGTGTTCCTCTCCCCCGTTACCCTTCCGCACACTACACATTATATATTGTGTTCCTCTCCTCCCTTACCCCTCCGCCCATTACACATTATATATTGTGTTCCTCTCCCACGTTACCCCTCCGCCCACTACACATTATATATTGTGTTCCTCTCCCCCGTTACCCCTCCGCAGACTACACATTATATATTGTGTTCCTCTCCTCCGTTACCCCTCCGCCCATTACACATTATATATTGTGGTCCTCTCCCCCGTTACCCCTCCGCACACTACCCGTCATAGATTGTGTTCCTCTCCCCCGTTACCCCTCCGCAGACTACACATTATATATTGTGTTCCTCTCCTCCGTTACCCCTCCGCCCATTACACATTATATATTGTGGTCCTCTCCCCCGTTACCCCTCCGCACACTACACATTAGAGATTGTGTTCCTCTCCCCCGTTACCCCTCCGCAGACTACACATTATATATTGTGTTCCTCTCCTCCGTTACCCCTCCGCACACTACACATTATATATTGTGTCCCTCTCCCCCGTTACCCCTCCGCACACTACCCGTCATAGATTGTGTTCCTCTCCCCCGTTACCCTTCCGCACACTACACATTATATATTGTGTTCCTCTCCTCCCTTACCCCTCCGCCCATTACACATTATATATTTTGTCCCTCTCCCCCGTTACCTCTCCGCCCATTACACATTATATAGTGTGTCCCCCCCCCCTCCCCCCCATCCCCGTCAACACACTTATATCGATACCTTTTTTGTAATAGAAAAGTGAGCCTTACATCTAAACATCCATGTCTACATACCTTAATATGAGTATTGAGTTTGTTAACGTCCCTGTCCGGGGGAGGTGCTCTCTGTTTACGTGCTGGTCTGGGCGGCACTGGTTTTGGAGGTGCTGGTTTGGGCGGCATCTTCAATCTCAACAGAACCAACTCATCAGTCTACCGTCAATTATTGACTGATCTGGCTGTGGTGTAATGATCAGGTCTCGGAATCAACGCAGCGTCAGATCAACACACTCGATTTAGTGTACGACCTGAAGATTTGGAAGACGTGTTGTGTGTATATCGGATTAAAAACCTGGACATGTGTAAGTTTGCAAGGGGCAGACTTATGTACATGTAAGAAGTATCATATCAAACATGCACATGGATAAAAACGACAAAGTGACAAAAAGCCTTGTACTATTAATAGTTTTTGTTGTACATTGTTTGTTATAAAACTTCATAGGAGTAGACACTGTTTGGTATACCTAATGAGTGACCTTTAATGCGAAAATCACGTTCTAAGTATTTATCGTGTAGTCAACGACTGACCGTTACACAAAGAATACGTCTTGTCGTCAAAACAAGGGTCCGGTAAACTGGACCCCGGCGTCCACACACCTATATATATAGGTAAATGGCTTTAACAGCTGACTGACCACCGTGTGTTGTAACGTATTTTACATATCACCCGAGGAACTCGGTCAAACCTTATGCAACAAATGCTAACACGTTTTTCTGATCGTATATGAAAAAAGGCATTTGGTCTCGAATGGTAATCATTCAAAACCAATTAATGTATTCAAAAACAATGTTTATTTTACTCTGTGAACTTCAAACTTTTGAACACTTTTCATGGGTTTAGTTTTTAAGTATTTTTTCATCAACAAATGCATATCTACAGTACAAAACATTCGTTCTCGTGCAACACAACACAGATACTACCTCGCCTGTATCTCTTTAAAGTTGAGTATCATAGCGTAACGTATATGTAACCTTGCCAGCCAGAGATGTAAATCAACTTTTACAGAAACTTCAATCGAAATGGTATGTTATTTTTACTTATTTGATTAACTTCTATCACTTTGATCTATATTTCAGAAGAAAAAGATAATTATGGTATGTTGCATTAAAACAAGGATATACTTTGTTCTTGTAACGTATCTGTTCACACAATTTGAACAAGTAACTTTATAACAAACGTTTGTATTGAAAAAAAAAACCCAAAAAAACTTAACGTAATTAAACGTCAAGGCGGCTTTAACTTAAACTGCCAAAAGTGTGTACGCTAGCGTACATGTCACTTTGTTTCAATCGTTACTCCCATTCAAAACCTAAACAGATACGTTACCATACGATAGGGGCCGCGCGCGGTGTCCAAGTGGTTAAGGCGTCTGACAGTCTGCTACCACTGGCCCTCCACTACTAGGTCGCGGGTTCGAGGCCTACGTGGGGCAGTTGCCAGGTCGGTGGGTTTTTTCCGGGATCTCAGGCTCCACCATCATAGCTGTTAATAGGACGTAAAACACAAACAAATCAAAACCATTCCAACAGATACGTTACACGTTCTATTGGTCCAGGGTTAAACTCATGCTACTAACAGTATCACTAAAACATACTTTAACCCGATGTAATGATCACTGGTGATCAAATATTACCAAGTCGATTTTATCTGGGAAAATAAAGCACCAAAACAGTAACGTGACCAAAGTGAACATATACGTTACATTTATCAAGTGATGTGATCCCTTATCCTCACATATCCCACCCTTTTCTTTCATAGCTTTTCACTAATTAAACCTTTAAAATCCATTTATAGTAGTTAAGTTTATTTGAACATCTGCAATAACGTACCCAAATTAACCATTATATATATGTATTCATGTCTATGGATTTCCCAAGATTTGAAGACATTCCCCTTTAAAAAAGCCAGCTGATGCAAGTACCATCAACATATCACAAAACAAAACTCGGATCTAGAGTATCTTTGTTAATACTACGATTATAGAACCATTTATAATTTACACATTGTACAACAATGTTATACTTCAGTTTTATCGTGTAAGCTATAAAAAAAAGAAAAAAAGAAAATGAGTACAGTTTTATTAGACAAATACACGTATCTGTTGGAATTTTAACGGAAAAACCACGAATACTGAGTTTCATGCAGGATACTTGAAATATGCTTACGGAATTAATGTCGATGGATTTTTATGCGATATAAGATACCTTTTGTCAATATACCAAGATATTTTAAACTTGTATTCACCGATAATAAATGCTTGTATTATGGGTGTTTTGTTGAGTAACGTATCTGGCAAGACATTTTACGACAGCAGATAATCGCCAAAAATCATATTGTAGCTTAAATAATTGATATTGAGGTAACTAATTTTGTTTAGACATAAGTAAACTTTAAGTATAAAAGAAAACATATGAATTTTAAATAAAATGGAAAAAAAATGTGGAGCTTTTTGTATCAGAAAAAGTGACGCGACAACGATTATTCGAGTATATTGGCATGTTCACGTACACTTTGTAAAAAAAATACCGTACGTTTTCATTAAAAGATTTGTTTGTTTTTGGAAAACATATCAATGTTGAAACAGTGAATTATAGTTTTGATGTATAGGCTGTATATTATAGATGGTGAAAGGATCATGCGACATGATTTTCGGTTAATGGCGCATGATAAGTGAGAATGGGCGTTATACATGTACCTCGAGCTCTATATCCGTACACCATTATCTAAGTATTAAACCAACTAAATCATATTACTTTTTTACCCGTCAATTTCAAATATTAAATCTAAACAGTGAGTTAATCATAGTACCTATAAAGTATGAAGCGACTACCAATAAAATTACTATAATGCTCTAACGAGTCTTCTTAGTACATAAGTGTTGTTTCCATTATAACTGGATTATACAGTATAGTTACATTATGTAGGAGGAAGATACCAAACATACCATTTATGGTTTCTGTGGTTTCTGTCTCTTACTGGCGAAAGATACCAATCGTTTACCATATAACAAAATGTGTACTTTATTTTAACTAATACCAAGTGAAAATCACACTTTTATCCAGAAAAGGAGAAATCCGGCATCCAGCACGACCGGCACTTGCCCCATACACTGATCATGACCTGACATTTTATTACCTCCCCTTAATTCTGCAATTACCCACAATGCCTAACTGTAATGGCAGCATTAGCTGTCAATTGTGCTGTGTGTGATCATTTAAACATTGGTAAGTATTAATTTAGATTAAATTAACTTATTTTGGAAACATTGTTATAATCTTGATGTGATTTTCAAAACAGTTATATAGTTTGAAATACTTTCTTTAACTGTTTCGATTGTACATCCGAGGAAAATGCGATGATGCTGAAACTAGTCCTCAGAGACAGAGGGGTCGCATCGCATCTGAGCGGCCATCTGAGTGATGTGTTCTTGAAATTTATGTCTAGATTCTGATACCAACTTGGAAAAACAAACGGACTGTATTTCGCATGACTACTTTCAGTAATCATGAATATATATATGCGTCAAAGTCAAACAAAACATATATTGATGATTGGTTATTTTTTAAATGTTATGAAAAATCTTATCGTTGACTCATCAGTTCGTGATTATCAATAATAATGCTTTATTAAACGGCTTTGCCAACATCTTGCAGTAAGCATATTTTCAATGTACCTCGCTACATAGAATAATACACTGTGATGAAGGAAAACAATCTTCATAATGTGGACTTCAGTGACTCAGTATACAGTTTGTGATATTACTTGAGGAGTAACAGCTATATAGCTCATGCTTGTTGACCACCAGTATTCTGAATTGGGATGGAAGGGGATCATGAGCCATTTTGGTCACTGGTCGGCCTTTTTTCTATCAGATATGGTATTGGTTTTGCCGACTGCGACGCTTGTCAAAGGTATCTCGCCGTGTGAACCTCTAACAGTGTTGGAGTAGCCATTACCAGTTCTATGTCGAGTTGTAGTTGCTGAAATGTTATGTAAATTGTAAATTTAAAAAACACATTCATGCAGTGTTCTCAAATATATAAACTTGTTCCTTTTCCCATCTAACAATGTACAATGATCTTTTTAAGATATCTATCTGCTTTGATGAGTGATCATGATGACACTTTAAGATTTAAGTGCTGGTTACTAACATATCTGTCTCTATCTATATTACCCCTCTGATGGCCAGGTTTGACAACATGATCTAAACCACATGATGTCATTTTCATGCTTAACTGCTCATTAACTCGCTGTCATAAGTATATATATATATATACGTATCTCGTTTTCTTGTTATTGTTATTTATCTTCAAATGCCTATGACAGGTCAAAGGAACTGGTCCTACAAGTTGATGTTAAGACTGCTTGAAAATTATAATTAATATTATTCAAATAATTTTAGCCGACCCTCATCAGCTGATGGGCTCTATTTTAAATCGCTGGTCATCCATCATATGACCTTAAACAGGTCTTGTTATTGTCATTACTCAAGAGGTACTAAAGAAGGGGACTACCAGGCATTATTTGAAAAATAAAAAATTGAAGTTTTTTGGGACTTTAGCAAAACAATATTTCACATATTATAATGACCAATAGAACTATTATGATGATGATGTATACGCATATCATGTAATTCTTGAACATTGATATTAATGTGTCATATGATTTATATCCACAGAGAACAACCGAGTGATCTGTCGCACTGATGGAGAAAGTTTGGTAGTCATCCCCATTTTAGAGTGGGATGGCTTACCGTCGACATCATAACAGACACACGTATGACAGCAACACTGATAGTGACACAGATTATTACTCCGAGACGGACGACAGGAAGAAAACCTGTATCAAACGTACCAGGTAAACATATTTTGTGTAACATTCCACTTCTTAGTAAGATCACAGGGCTCACCCTGGACCTAAAAAATCACTAGCCAATAAAGTAGCCACGTGTGAATTTCAGTAGCCATTGTTTTTAAACTGTTGCCATACTTTCTCGGCCTCCAACCGTAACAGATGGCCTGGGCCCTCCATTAAAATCCTTCAATACTTAATATTTTTGAAGTGCAATACTATTCAACATGATGTTAAAGGAGTACTGTAAAAGCGTATATTTTCGTTGGGGTTAAATCTCTTTGTTTTTGTTTTGGGACAAATTCGTTGGGATTATATTTCGTGGAGTCAATATTTTAATACCCTGAGATTTTTTGTTTGACACCTGAACAATAAGACAATCAGTCTGGCTAACTGTGCATCGTCCGAGGTGATCACCTATCCACTCCAGGTGAATTTTTCACACATCGCTTCACCCCAGTCGGTGAAAAACAATAGATCGACCATCGCTCGATGGTCAAATAATTTAGTCTAGACAAACATGTGTGGTAGTTAAAATCTATCTAAAATGGAAATAATTAGGCCTACCGACATTTTTTAACACAAATTCTGATAAGAAAACGAGCATGCATTTCATAAATATTCACGGTTACCTTGACATATAATGTGAGAAAATCATGCCGATTTCAATGAAAATATTACTCCAGAAGGAAGACGTGTGTTTTTAATCATTTAAGCAATAGTTTCTCTATATTGCATTAGAAGTTTATTTCTCTGTGTTTCCGTTGAAAAAGTGTCCAAATCAGGGCATGCCGTCCTGACAGCATCCACCGGAAATCAATTCAAATTTAACGTTATTGTAATCACATCGGCTTGGCGCCGACAAATGTACGTGTGCAAGACCACCTATGTGTGAGTCGCTTATCAGACTGTTTTCTCAACGTCAGTGGGTCATCCAAATAACTAAACCCCACTGTCCATTAATTTATAAAGTAACACGAATCATAACAACTCTTGCCATCTCAAGCTTGTTAAATGACTTTACAACTTGGACAAAAGCATTAATTAGCTCTCATTCGTGCAGCGCGCACTGATCTGTGACGGCACTGATTATGTTTACACAATACACAGGTGAGTATACATATAGATAGAATGTCTTCTAGGACAAAGATACAGATGTTCCTCATTTTTAAAACTTTGTAGTCAATTTATAGTAGCCACATCATATTTTTAGTAGCCAATAAAAAATAGCTACTTTGGCTACCAACAGCGCGAGCCCTGGATCATGTTTGATTTCAGTCAGTGGTGAGAACTAGTTCACATTTTTATATGATTAGTTGTGTCAGTTACACAATCTGAAATTTGATTTTAGAGTTAATTAGAAAAATCCTACGTTTTCATCTTGNATATATATATATATATATATATATATATATATATATATATAATAACAGTCTGTAATATATGAAATGTTTATAAAAACTAGTTACATAATTTGCCCATAGGTACATATAATAACTGTGTGTCTATTTGGGACTTTTTTTCTTTATTTCAGCTCTCTTGGGGCCCCGAAATCTAAACCATGCCTTGTTAACCGTGCACGAACTCTAAGTTTGGAGAACACCAGTAGTAATGAAGACGGAGATGTTCACCACTTGAGTACTGGTGATGAAGAATTTGTCATGACGAGTCGTCCATCTCTTCCCTCTACTGGTGCGAGGCACCGTGTGTACCAGGGTGTTCCTTATACTCAGCCGGCCAGACAGCTCAGTTACTTCCAGTCATACAGAAATGACCCTTCCAACTTTTCCTTTCCTCCTGAAATGAGTGAGCTGGCCCAGGGAGCTGGTATAATGAACACTAATCCAGGAAACAACAGTCCGCGTGTATCAGGAGAAAGATTGACACTAGTGGTAGATGAAACACGCTTTGTTGTGGATCCAGAGTTACTGAGGAAACATCCCAACACTATGTTAGGAAGGTAATCATATATAGATATAATTTTAAATTTAATCAATTGATATTAAGAGCTGAAGAAAAATCCATGTACCATTTTGGTCTGTCTAAATGACCCATTCTTAATTGAATGTGTGATTTTTCTCAATATGCCCATTTAAAATTCCCAACAGTGATCAACATTCTTAAAATCTTCTGTAGTATTTGATCTCTGAAATATTATGTTGTAACCACCACTAATTAACTGTAGGTCTTTACAGCCTTCTGAGGCTTCTTGTTATCAAACAAATGTTCTTAATTTATTTTTAACATAATATCCTTTTTATATCCCTGCCTCGACAGAGTATACTTGACTTTGATGTTTCATAAATTCCATGATTGCATGTTTAAATGTTCATGTAAATGATACAGGTCCCTGTTCCTCTTGTAAACAGCATGTGATTTAATTTTTTTTAGTACTGTACTTGAGGTAGTGATAATTGTAGTGGAGATTTAGGGTTGGCGGGTGGCGCAGTGGATAGCCCACTTGCCTTTCACCAAGGCGGCCAGGGTTTGATTCCACGGTCGGACGTGAAAAGACAAAGGTATGGGGTCACCTGCCTGACCATGTGGATTTTCTCTGGGTACTCCGGTTTCCTCCCACAATAAGACCCCTTACACACTTACATCCGGGCCAACAAATGTGATTAATATAAGTTGATTTTTTTTTTCAAAATTGTAGTAAAATAAATAAATTGAAAAGTTTAGTTTTAGTAGTGGAGATGTTTTAATTACATAACTAGGAAGGATTTCATGTAAAATTTGCTTGTGATCCCCTGTAAGCCATCAAATAAAATACTATTTATTAAAACCCCAGATATGCATACATTGACAACCTGCATGTGTGAACTGCATGCTTAAACTTAATTAGGATAAGACGGAACTAATCGTCTTTTCCCCAAAGTGTCAGTCAGCAAACAATGACTCTCCAGCTCAAGGTTGGTGCCAGAACTATTGAGACTGTTCCAGCTGTTATAAACCTATGGGTATACTTTGACAGTTCGCTGAACATGGAGAAACAAGTGAACGCTATTGCCAAATCCTGTTACTACCAGATCAGGAACATCGGCTGTATTCGGCAGTTTCTAACTGCAGATGCATGCAAGATTTTGGTGCATTCACTTGTTACCTCTCAGTTGGATTATGGTTACGCCCTGCTCTGTGGTATATCTGACAAACTAACTAGTCGTCTGCAGAGGGTCCAGAACACTGCAGCACGGCTAGTTACTCGTACTCGAAAGAGAGAGCACATCACCCCTGCGCTTTATTCGTTGCACTGGTTACCTGTACGATACAGGTCGCAGTACAAAATTCTGGTATACACATACAAGTTACTGAATGGAACAGCTCCTCAGTACCTACAGGAGCTTGTTACTCTGTATCAGCCGTCAAGATCACTGCGGTCGGAGTCAGAATCTTTGTTGTGTGTCCCAAAATCTCGTACTGTGACCTACGGAAACAGATGCTTTGGTAGGGTTTCGGCTACGTTGTGGAATAGCTTACCATCTGCTATAATGAAGTCAAATACCTTGGCCAAGTTCAAGAGGGACATAAAAACTCACCTCTTCACGTCTGCATTTTAGAAACTTTGCAAAGACGTCATGTAAATACCACCCTTTTATTTGTTCAATTATGTGCACATTGCTTGTTAAATGTATGAAAGTGATTGCAAGCCTTTGTTGTTTGTTTTCACAATTATAACCATTACTATTATCCATATGTTGTAAAGCGCCTGAAGTAATTTTACAAATTATATAGGGCGCTATATAAATGTTGTATATTATTATTATTATTTTGTTTTCTTATTTCTTTTCAGAATGTTCACTTCTTCTTTGGAAAATAATATTACTCGTCCTAATGAGAGAGGTGAATATGATGTAGCAGAAGGCATATCTGCAACGGTCTTCAGGTCAATTCTGGTAAGATATTCAGATAGAATGTATCAACACTGTAACAAGATGTATTAATATTCCATCTGTAGCTAAAATCACATTTAAGACAGATTTATCTGATATTTTCATTCACATGAGTGAAATTTTGAGCAACATCAGATGTGAGTGAATAGTATTCATCTTCTTTAGGAAACCTTCTAATTATCTGTTAATTTACAATTCATGAAGTAGCAGCATTTTCAAAGTTTATCATACAGATGTTTTATTTATCATACCGATGTTTTATTTATCATACCGATGATTTATTTATCATACCGATGTTTTCTTAGGGCCCCGTATCGGAGATACGGGTGCCCTATAGTAATCACTCTGTCTGTCTGTCTGTCCACAAATTTTGTTCCTGGCTGATAAATTTGGTATTTATTGAGCGATGTACATGAAACTTGGTCAAGATGTTCTGTTCACAAAAATACACATTGAGGTAAAAAGTCAAGGTCAAAGGCCAAGGTCATTAGGTTCAAAGGTCAATGTCAAATTTTACATCTTTTCACTGATAAACATTTTGTTATGACGTTATGAAGCAAAGTTGATAAGAATTAAACAAGGAGTCAACTGACCAGAGGTCAAGGTCATCGGGTCAGGGGTCAAGGTCCTTTTTTTAAGCTTTTCACTGGTGAACATTTAGCTATGACATTATGAAGCAAAGTTGTTCGGAATTAAACAAAGAGACACACTGAGGTAAAAAGTCGAGGTCAAAGGTCATGGTCATTAGATTCAAATGTCAAGGTCAAATTTTGCATCTTTTCACTGATGAACATTTTATGACATGATGAAGCAAAGTTGATCAGAATTAAACAAGGAGTCAACTGATCAAAGGTCAAGGTAATTGGGTCAAAGGTCAAGGTTAAATTTTCTACCTTTTCCCTGATGAACATTTTGTTATGACATTATGAAGCAATGTTGTTCAGAACAGAGTCAACTGACCTTAGGTCCAGGTTACGGGGTCCAAAGGGTCAATGTCAAGTTTTGTATTTTTCACTGAAGAACATTTTGTTATGATATTAAGAAGCAAAGTTGGTCGGAATTAAAGTATAAGTCAACAGACCAAAGATCAGGGTCACTGGGTTAATGGTCAAGGTCATTTGGGTCCAAAGGTCAAAGACAAAGTGGATCTCTGACATTGACCCTGGCTCTTGATGGAGGAGGTATATAAGGTGAAATAAAACAAATCAAAGCTAACAAATGAGTATTGCACCGGTATTTACATTTCTGTTTGCCCAGCAAATATGGAGGTGGAAGGAAACAAGACTCACATCATAGTACATGTAAAATGTATATTTTGCTTTAATACTCTTTTTGAAGTCCAAATGTCAAACGTCAAGCTCAGCTATATGGGCTTATTACTTCTTGATGATTATGGGGGATAGATTGCCACAAGACGGGGCCCTGACTGACCTGTCAGTTTTCTAGTTTATCATACAGATGTTTTATTTATCATACCGATGTTTTATTTTTATCATACCAATGTTATATTTATCATACAAATGTTTTATTTATCCTACTGATATATTACCTGCAGGAGTACTACAGAACTGGTTGTGTGAGATGTCCGCCCAGTGTGACGGTTCAGGATCTCCGCGAAGCTTGTGACTATCTCTTGATTCCATTTGAGCCTGGAACGATCAAATGTCAAAACCTTCGTAAGTCTTATTAACAGCACAGAAGATAATAGAACAGTATTTTCCAGTAATAGACGATAAAAATTGTGATCAGTTTCATAATTGTAACTAACACTTACATCCTTTCAACAGCCACTATGATTTAGAATTGTATGTTATAGCCAAAGTGTAAAAAGGTGCACAAGAAAAAATCGTGTCACAAAGAGCTGCATTAGTTTGCGGTAAGAGGGCCACATATTTGTTATACCTCTATGTGTCACGAAGAGCTGCATTAGAGGGCCACATATTTGTTTTACCCCTATGTGTCACGGAGAGCTGCATTAGTTTGCGGTAAGAGGGCCACATATTTGTTATGCCCCTATGTGTCACGGAAAGCTGCATTAGTTTGCGGTAAGAGGGCCACATATTTGGCATACCCCTATGTGTCACGAAGAGCTGCATTAGTTTGCGGTAAGAGGGCCACATATTTGTTAGACCCCTATGTGTCACGGAAAGCTGCATTAGTTTGCGGTAAGAGGGCCACATATTTGTTATACCCCTATGCGTCACGGAAAGCTGCATTAGTTTGCGGTAAGAGGGCCACATATTTGTTATACCTCTATGTGTCACGAAGAGCTGCACTAGAGGGCCACATATTTGTTTTACCCCTATGTGTCACGGAGAGCTTCATTAGTTTGCGGTAAGAGGGCCACATATTTGTTATACCTCTATGTGTCACGAAGAGCTGCACTAGAGGGCCACATATTTGTTTTACCCCTATGTGTCACGGAGAGCTTCATTAGTTTGCGGTAAGAGGGCCACATATTTGTTATACCTCTATGTGTCACGAAGAGCTGCCTTAGAGGGCCACATATTTGTTTTACCCCTATGTGTCACGGAGAGCTTCATTAGTTTGCGGTAAGAGGGCCACATATTTGTTATACCTCTATGTGTCACGAAGAGCTGCATTAGCGGGCCACATATTTGTTTTACCCCTATGTGTCACGGAGAGCTTCATTAGTTTGCAGTAAGAGGGCCACATATTTGTTATACCCCTATGTGTCACGGCGAGCTGCATTAGTTTGCGGTAAGAGGGCCACATATTTGTTATACCCCTATGCACAAATTGCTGTTTTCATATTGAAATAATTTAAGTATGCTAACCAAACAAATTTCTGTCTTGGCTGGAGTCAACTGTACCCCTTAATGAATAACAACACTATTGTCTTGATTCTGATCTTGTTTGAATCAAATGCAAAGGCTAGTTTCATTTAATTAAAAAAAATATGTATATATATATAATCAGATCAATATCCAATTAGTTTTAATGGTATATTAGATTGATTAATGATATTATTTTTGTAAATATAGTTGATATTGCATCTAGCATACTGAATATTCATCACATCATATTAAACAAAGAAGATGCTTATTTACAGTTAATTATCGTTTTCTGTATTACTGTATGATAGTGGTTTTACAGTTAATTATCGTTTTCTGTATTACTGTATGATAGTGGTTTTCAGAAATTCAGTTTTATAGTTCAGTTGCAATGGAACTCAATAGAATATATTCTAATGTATAGTAACCACACCATAGTGTACACTTATATTTACTTGTGTGCAGGCAATGTCACACCTGTTACCCAATACTTTCAATTTCAAATATTAAATGGAAAGGATCACAAATAGCTGAATTGGTTTTAATACGTTGGATCTTAAACAAATGTTAAAGTCTACTACACTTCCCTCTGATGAAATGGTAGATTCTAGATAACAAGCTAAGTGTTCATGTTAAAGTCGGCTACACTTGTTTCTGATGAAATGGTAGATTCTAGATAACAAGTGTTCATGTTTAAGTCTACTACACTTGTTTCTGATGAAATGGTAGATTCTAGATAACAAGTGTTCATGTTAAAGTCTACTTCACTTGTCTCTGATGAAATGGTAGATTCTAGATAACAAGTGTTTATGTTAAAGTCTACTACACTTGTCTCTGATGAAATGGTAGATTCTAGATAACAAGTGTTCATGTTTAAGTCTACTTCACTTCTCTCTGATGAAATGGTAGATTCTAGATCTAGATAATTAAGGTTGGCAGTCTAAGGAATGTTATCATTTGACATTTTAATGAGGTCATTTGTTTTGTATTGCAGGGGGATTTTTACATGAGCTTTCCAATGAAGGAGCACGCCAGCAGTTTGATATATTCCTGGAAGAGATGATTATGCCCCAAATGGTGCACTCTGCACAGGTATATTGCATTATTGATAGAAAATTAAACCTGGAACAATACTACAGTCTAATACAATTTTCAAAAATACATGTGTTTCTGGTTTCCTGACCGACCCAATCATTTTAGTGCCAGCTCTAAATTTTATACCCTTGCTACGAAAAAGTAGGGAGTGTATAGAATAGACTTTGTCTGTTCATGCTGACTTTCTGGAGCATATATCTCAGTCGCTGTTTCACAGATATTTACCATTAGACTTTGTATATAGGTACATTATTGGAAGGAATTGTGTGACATCCTAAAACCAGGTCGCTTTGACCTCAATTAGACATTTGACCTGGACCTAAATTGCTGAAAAAATGTTTTGCAAATCTTATATTAGTTATGAATGGGCATCAAACTTTATTCAAAAGAACACCATGGGGAGGTTTCACTATGTCTTACTCACTATGGAATGGGCTTCTAACTGTGTATAGGTATATGCAAAGAGCTGGGGTATTTGCGAAACCATTATGGCTTTGAGTTAAATCTAATTTTAAGACTAAAATTGCATATTTTTAACTATGTCAGCAATCAAAATACCAAAATCAATTTATACATCCCATTATGTGCATTCTAATGTATCCTTGACAGTGCAAGAAATCATTGAAATGAATTATATTTTGGATGTTTTATAACAAAAAAGCAAACACTGCAATTTTTTTAATTATGCCCCCCCCCATAAAATGGGGGAGGCATATAGTGTTGCCCATGTCCGTCAGGTCCCTTAACTTCCTGACAGGTCCATCGTGTCCCGATTCAATGTAAACACTGAACAACAACTTCATTCTTTCACAGATTTTTGAAAACTTCATACAAAGGTCACGTATGAGTATACGTCGGACATCGTTGTGTTTCAGGGTTCCAAGGTCAAGGTCAAGGTTGCTATATAGGGGGCAGTCATATGTGTTCCAGACATTTTCCATACTTACCAACTTTTGATATTTCCAGGGGGGAGATTCTGTATTCTCAAAATTAAAACACTAATAAAACGTGTGCATCTACCCCTAGTGATAAAGTAAGCCTTTAAAATGACATATTTTGAGTTGTCCTTTCAGATGAAATCAAACTATCTTAGAATATAGGAATAGTTCAGAAAATTCTATGGTTGAAAATGCAAAATTTAAGGGTCCAAAATTGAGAGACTCCCTCCTAAATAGGGAGAGTTTGCAAGTATGATTTTCTAGTTTTATTTCTGTGACATTCAAAGGCCTTCGACTTTTGCATTTTGTACACCCCAACTCCCAGGCCATCTACATCAAAACAGACTGCTTTTGTACTGCCTAATTAGAAGGATAAGAGATCTTCGCTATTGAAGTGGAGAAATTGTAATAAGAGAACTGAACATACATACTGGAGAAAATTTAAGAATTACCTGTTGCAATTGCTCTAGAAACAGTTATCTTCAAAGTTATCTCAGTTGTCAGCAGTTACAGAAAGAAGGTCTGTAGTCGCCCCAATGTCTTGCACATATTTCTTTATATAAGGGAGGTGGGAGGGGTTATATGTCTATGTGAGGCTCTGCTCACCTTGTTTTTATTTCCTCTACAGACGGGAGATAGAGAATGAGGTATATGTCTATGTGAGCCTCTACTCTCCTTGTTTTTATTTTCTCTACAGACGGGAGATATAGAATGAGGTATATGTCTATGTGAGCCTCTACTCACCTTGGTTTTATTTTCTCTACAGACGGGAGATAGAGAATGAGGTATATGTCTATGTGAGCCTCTACTCACCTTGTTTTTATTTTCTCTACAGACGGGAGATAAAGAATGAGGTATATGTCTATGTGAGCCTTTACTCTCCCATCCTCGCTAGCCAAGGGTTCGCTTCATATGAGTGTATACGAAGCGAACACTTGGCTAGCTGCGAAGATGCTACTCTCCTTGTTTTTATTTCCCCTACAGACAGGAGATAGAGAATGAGGTATATGTCTATGTGAGCCTTTACTCTCCCATCCTCGCTAGCCAAGGTTTCGCTTCATATGAGTGTATACGAAGCGAACACTTCGCTAGCTGCGAAGATGCTACTCTCCTTGTTTTTTTTTTCTCTACAGACAGGAGATAGAGAATGAGGGATATGTCTATGTGAGCCTCTACTCACCTTGGTTTTATTTTCTCTACAGACGGGAGATAAAGGATGAGGTATATGTCTATGTGAGCCTCTGCTCACCTTGTTTTTATTTCCTCTACAGACAGGAGATAGAGAATGCCACATTGTGGTTCTGGTAGAGGATGATGTTGTGGACTGGGATGAGGAATACCCCCCACAAATGGGAGAGGAATACACCCAAAGTAAGTATACTACAACAGGAAATGCTAAGTTTCAGGGAGTAGAGGAGATATCCTAACTAATGGAAACACAGCAGTTATAAATTATGAAACTGTTCCAGTGATGTTTGAATTACACATTCTTCAATGCAAGATGAAAGAGTAAACATTGTGTAAAACTTGTGGATACTATTCAAAAGTTGGTACCAAGAATTATTTCATACTTTAAACTAAGGTCTTAACCCTTTCACCACTATAGACCATAATAGACTCATCCGGATCAATGCACGGTAGAGTCAACTAAAGTTACATAGGGGTGAAAGGGTAAATATATACTAATGAAATATAGTAAATATGAATTACTTATTATAAACATGTTGTTTGTAAGATGCAATAGATTTAGAATAAATGCCTGTACCTGTATTCCAGTGAATTAAGGTAACTAAAATGCGAGTTTACCTAAGATTTCACCTTGTCTGGAAAGACTTTGTTGTTTAAAAAAATAAAGATTTTTGCACATATTCAGTCAGTTAGAAATTCACTGAAAGTTTTGCCGTTAAAACACATAGCTTAACAATTAAGGATTTCTTCATTAATGATTAAGAATGCTAGGAAAACATTGACTTTTTCAAATTTCTTGACATGAATTGTTCATGAGGAGTATTTATCTATATTATCAGAGAAGATTTTGTGACAAGATAATTTAAAAAATCTAACTTCACTAAAATATCCCTTTAACATGAGTCTTTTAATCTCAAAAGCTTTCCCCTCTTGTGGAGATGTCTTTTCTGTTGCCCTGGACAGGTGTATCCACACATTTCTGTGTGTGAGATTAATAAAAATCTTTTACCTGACACTGAGCGAGATTCCGTAAACAATGCATTTAGCCTGTAATGTCCATTACATTGTGTATATGATGGGCTGAACAGTGCAGGAGAAAATGACTCATTCACCCCATTGAGGTGAGATTTGGAATCTCCAACCTCAGGGAAAGATTAATTTAATTGGCCAAACATGTGTACACTATAAATTGGGAAAGCTTTGTGTTGGGCAACTTAAAAATCTCTCCCTTTGGGTTGAAATTTTCCTACCTCACCCAGAAAAGGGTGAAAGATTCTATTAGTCTATATATCAATCAGGAGTTAAGTTTTAATTCAGGACAGCTGACTTTGAAAATAAGAGATGAACGATTTGTTTGTGGTTTACCTCAGAGGGAATTCGTTACAATCATTAAGATTTACATAAAGTACACAAATTATATGAAATTTCAAATTCAGTAGACGACTGGTTTAGGTGATCTGGCATTACAAAGAGAGACATAGTAAAATGCATGGATATCATCTGTTGTGCGTGTTTTTGGTTGAAAATTGGCGATTTTGAAGAAATTATCTAAACTTTCTTCAATTTTTGAAAGCTTCCACATGCAACAAACAAATAAATGTTTGTCACATGTGGAGGCTTTCATTTCTGCATGCTAACTGTCCAAAAACACCATATTTTGGCTAATTCTGCATAGCATCGCAACTTTGTTGCTGTGGTAGGGCAAAGACGCATGCGCATTGGAACAAATCTGCACCAAGTCTGATAGACCCAATATGATGTTTATACAAAAAATGGTAAATAAATTCAAGTTGAATTTTTTACTTTTTATGAGGCCAAAAATGACCCATAGCGCCCCAAGGTCCTTTGCATTGACATAAGCCATGTGTGACAAGCTTCAGTCTCGTTAGCTGGTTATTTAACGAAGCTGCTGTCTTTAATTCTGTGGTCCCTGTGGTTCACAGTAGATGTAGGTGGCAGTGCCCTGTCTCACTTGAGTTTTATCATATAACTCATTTAATGTATGATCAAAAGAGTAGATAACTTTTATTAAAAACTTCATCAGATAATGGACTGATAGTTCCTATGCTTATTGAACTGAAATCTGCAACTTGTATTATAATATAGAAATGTCAATACTGATTATATTACAGACTGATTACTTGTATTCTGTTACAGTTATTTACAGCACTTCCATGTATAGGTTCTTCAAATATATAGAAAATAGGGATGTTGCAAAGCAAGTTCTGAAAGAAAGAGGCTTGAAAAAGATACGGCTCGGCATAGAAGGTGAGTTTCAGTGTGACAACATTGTTTCTATCAAAGGGAAGTAATCAAAGAGCCTTTAGGTATAAGGAGGTTTCTATCAAAGGGAAGTAATCAAAGAGCCTTAAGGTATAAGGAGGTTTCTATCAAAGGGAAGTAATCAAAGAGCCTTTAGGTATAAGGTTGTTTCTATCAAAGGGAAGTAATCAAAGAGCCTTTAGGTATAAGGAGGTTTCTATCAAAGGGAAGTAATCAAAGAGCCTTAAGGTATAAGGAGGTTTCTATCAAAGGGAAGTAATCAAAGAGCCTTAAGGTATAAGGAGGTTTCTATCAAAGGGAAGTAATCAAAGAGCCTTAAGGTATAAGGAGGTTTCTATCAAAGGGAAGTAATCAAAGAGCCTTAAGGTATAAGGAGGTTTCTATCAAAGGGAAGTAATCAAAGAGCCTTTAGGTATAAGGAGGTTTCTATCAAAGGGAAGTAATCAAAGAGCCTTAAGGTATAAGGAGGTTTCTATCAAAGGGAAGTAATCAAAGAGCCTTAAGGTATAAGGAGGTTTCTATCAAAGGGAAGTAATCAAAGAGCCTTTAGGTATAAGGAGACTTCATGATTTAAACGATCACATTTTTGTTGATTCCTCAGAATCATTTATGTGATTAACCCTTTCACCCCTATGTTAACTTTAGTAGTCTCATCCATGCATTGATATGAATGACTTCATTATGGTCTACGGGGGTGAAAGGGTTAAATGAAGTTTTAATTGTACGTACATGTAACATGAATCAGTATTTACAAAAAAATGATTTTGAAGTCATATGATGAAAAAACTCTTTCATAGGTGGATGTTCTCTTACAGATCAAATTAATCTTTGGAAACTATTATCACCAATTACAGGGAAAGATTGACAATGAGAAATTCTGTATAATGGCCTCATTCCTTGTATTGCTACCAGTAGTGTTGATCAAATGCTTANGGGTAAATGAGAGTTTTACTTTGTAAAATTAGGATTCCTGCCCCATCCCCAGGGGCTAGAGCGGGGCCCCAAAGGAAACATTTACCAATATTTTCAAATTCTTATCCATTGATGACATGACAAGTATTGAATTTCACTTAGTTTACATGCTGATTTCCACATCACATCTAAACAATAAAATAAAGCTACCAGTATCTATGATATAACTCAGGTGACCGCTAAGGCCCTTGGGCCTCTTGTTTGTTTCTTCCTCTTTAAGACAACTTTATTTTACTTTAAATGTGCTGGGTTTTTTCAGGGTACCCTACCTACAAGGAGAAAGTGAGAAAGCGACCAGGTGGAAGGCCAGAGGGTAAGCCTATTGACATCCCACATACATTACAGTACATTGTCAAGTATACAAATATTACCAATAAGTTCAAATTTTTGTAAATCTTTGAAATCCTTCTCTTTCAATATGACTGAAGGAATTTTAACCAAATTGATCCAGAGTACCATTTAACAAGGTGGACTCAGTTTTGTATAAACAAAGTGTGGTTCCCTGGGAGCAGAGGGGCGGGCACAATACAGGAACATAGTAATAAATGTTAAAAATGCTTCTCCTTCAGTACCATCGAGGGGATTTTAAACAGTTTTTGTGTAGAGCATCTTTTGGGCAAAGGAAATTCAATTTTGTATAAACAAATGGTGTGTGCCCCCTTGGGAACAATGTCAAAGGTCAATTAAGTGCAATCTTTTCAGTTGTAACTTTATAAATAAAGGTACTGCCTTCCGCCTCCAAACTTGTTAATTTTGGTAGTAGGCATGTAGTCAAGAAAAATGTAGATTCACATTAATTTGACTTTATTTGCATAACTTTATTTTGCAATAGAAGGGAAATGGTTTTGGCTAATAAGGGTAGACACGTGTTCATTTACAAAAACAAATCTCTAATTACTTATGTACTGAAATACATCATTGAAGTGTTAAATGCATTTTACATGACATATTGAGATAATATTGACCTAAATTTGATGTTTAAAGAGCACTTTGTATTTTAACTTTGTCTAACACAGAACACATGATTATATTACAGTGATATACAACTATGTCCAGCGCCCTTTCATTCGCATGTCCTGGGAGAAAGAGGAAGCTAGGAGTCGACATGTTGACTTTCAGTGTGTTAAGAGCAAGTCGATCACCAACCTGGCTGCAGCTGCTGCAGACACTCTCCAAGACCAGGGCTTGGTACAACAGCAGCACCTACAGGACGGGAGCATCAACGTCATCCCTCCCCAGCCCTCCCCCTCAGAGCCCTACCCCGGGGTCCAAATCCCACCTGAGGGGGACGCAGAGTAAGGACCCTGGTTTATCAGAGATAACACAACCCAAGATGAATGTGATTGATAGTGCAAGTAAAGAGTGTGACGTATTTGAGAACAAACATTGCTCGGACACGGTATCACCCAGCATCACTTGTTCTACAGGATTGCTGCCCTGCTTCAACTTTCACAAATATTTGCTCAAACTAATTAAAAGAACAAAAAAGAAATAAGAATGCTTTAATAACTTTTTTGTAGCAGACTGGCTGATCATTTAGGTTTTGATCTGTTAAATTTATTATTATTATAAATCATGACAGGTATTAAGTAATCAACGGCTCTGTTTAGATATGATAGAAAGATAGAAACAGGTTTCCAACTACAGGTGGTTGGTTGCCATGCTTATTTAAGGTAGGGTGATAAGGTATGGTGATATGGTGATTTTGTAGGGTGATTTGTAATAAGATACTCAGGATAGATAAACCCTGACAAGCTGATAAAGAAATCTGTTCCTACCAGAAACTTCTTACTACGTAAGGAAAATAATTCTTTAATCCTATGTCACCAAGCATTGTGATACCATTTCTCACCAATGTTAACATTGTGATACCATTTCTCACCAATGTTAACACTTCCAGCTTTAAGCTAATGTGTTCATCATTCTATACAGTGTGTATTACATGAGTGTAAAGCGGTGTAACAAATACATCTTAAGGAAGACATCTCTACCACTGGTGTACATCCTACGGAGGAATAGTATCTTCTGTGCATGAATGTGCTCAATGAACCAGTTCTATCTGTGATGTAAGATGGATTTGTTTTAGCAGGTGTTTTTTGTTGGATGCATACTACAATCATTAAAAGAGATAGGAATGATAATCTAAAACAAATGTTGAATTTCAATCCCAAAAGTTAGAAGTAAACAGGAAAAGTTTACAACAATGTTGTGTGAAAATGATAGCATCACTTTATTATAGCTTCAAATGTTAATAAACTTATGTGTGGAAGTGATAGCATCACTTAATTATAGCTTCAAATGTTAATAAACTTATGTGTGAAAGTGATAGCATCACTTTATTATAGCTTCAAATGTTAATAAACTTTCAACTTTGCATCAGTTCTTTTTATTAAGCAGATACCAGATAGATTGTTACTAACATTCAGACATGGGGTACAGAACATTAAATAACAGGACAGATACCAGATAGATTGTTACTAACATCCAGACACGGGGTACAGAACATTAAATAACAGGACAGATACCAGATAGATTGTTACTAACATCCAGACACGGGGTACAGAACATTAAATAACAGGACAGATACCAGATAGATTGTTACTAACATCCAGACACGGGGTACAGAACATTAAATAACAGGACAGATACCAGATAGATTGTTACTAACATCCAGACACGGGGTACAGAACATTAAATAACAGGACAGATACCAGATAGATTGTTACTAACATCCAGACACGGGGTACAGAACATTAAATAACAGGACAGATACCAGATAGATTGTTACTAACATCCAGACACGGGGTACAGAACATTAAATAACAGGACAGATACCAGATAGATTGTTACTAACATCCAGACACGGGGTACAGAACATTAAATAACAGGACAGATACCAGATAGATTGTTACTAACATCCAGACACGGGGTACAGAACATTAAATAACAGGACAGATACCAGATAGATTGTTACTAACATCCAGACACGGGGTACAGAACATTAAATAACAGGACAGATACCAGATAGATTGTTACTAACATCCAGACACGGGGTACAGAACATTAAATAACAGGACAGATACCAGATAGATTGTTACTAACATCCAGACACGGGGTACAGAACATTAAATAACAGGACAGATACCAGATAGATTGTTACTAACATCCAGACACGGGGTACAGAACATTAAATAACAGGACAGATACCAGATAGATTGTTACTAACATCCAGACACGGGGTACAGAACATTAAATAACAGGACAGATACCAGATAGATTGTTACTAACATCCAGACACGGGGTACAGAACATTAAATAACAGGACAGATACCAGATAGATTGTTACTAACATCCAGACACGGGGTACAGAACATTAAATAACAGGACAGATACCAGATAGATTGTTACTAACATCCAGACACGGGGTACAGAACATTAAATAACAGGACAGATACCAGATAGATTGTTACTAACATCCAGACACGGGGTACAGAACATTTAATAACAGGACAGATACCAGATAGATTGTTACTAACATCCAGACACGGGGTACAGAACATTTAATAACAGGACAAGAACAAAGCATGTATTTGGCAAAGATATGTGATAAAAATGTCAGGGTATATAGAAAGAGAGCAAATCGAAACCAACACGATTCAGTAATACCAGATAGATGTTTTTAGTTGACAGCCAAATGTCTCTGAGATAATTATGAATAAAAAATCTAGCAGGTCTGTGATTACTAATAAGTCCTGTACTGTGTACTGACCGGATATGAGGACATACACAGGTCTGTAATTACTTATAAGTCCTGTACTGTGTACTGACTGGATATGAGGCCATGCTTCATCAATTAGAATTGTTTTAATCATTTTTGCTTTAAGTATGGTATTGAAATTGATATTTTTTAGTACTTGAAAGACACTTACCTGTACATGATGCTTTATGAATTTTCTTCACTTTTTTAAACTTTGAAATTAATGCTTGAAGTATCACAAACTGTTAGAAGTAGTAAAATTTCAGAAATCCATGTGAGACTTTATAATATGTACATGTTATTGATATTACATCATTCTATAGTACACTGCAGATATTGTGATGGTTTTGTTCTCATAGTAGCATACAATAATCATATATAGTTGCAAAGTAAGATTTCATTATTGTTGGTGTCATAAAAAAATCTTTGGAAAACTTACAGTACAGCAAGTAAAGCTGGTATCTTACTTCTGATTTAAATAGAGTAAAGTGTATGTGGTGTACCCCAAAGTCACAGTCACAGATTGAGGGAGAAGGTTTCTGATTTAAATAGAAAGTAAAGTGTATGTGGTGTACCCCAAAGTCACGGTCACAGATTGAGGTAGGAAGTTTCTGATTTAAATAGAATAAAGTGTATGTGGTGTACCCCAAAGTCACGGTCACAGATTGAGGTAGAAGGTTTCTGATTTAAATAGAGTAAAGTGAAATGGGTGTACCCCAAAGTCACGGTCACAGATTGAGGTAGAAGGTTTCTGATTTAAATAGAGTGAAGTGTAATGGGTGTACCCCAAAGTCACAGTCACAGATTGAGGTAGAAGGTTTCGGTAACATGTGAGAAAAGTCTTTTATCAGAGTATAATTTTTTTTATTGAACCCCTAAATCAAAAGGTATTATCACTAGGGCTGTAATATACTGGTACCACATAACAAGGTATGTAATACTGTATCATAGGGGCTATTTAGTACAGGCTTGTACTTTTTGTCAGCAAAGAAATTAAGTTACCGATGCCAATATGAAAATCTGTATCAATATAGACGGAACTATCGATCAGCACTGGCAATTAAGGTGATGTGTGTATTTATAATTTGTAGTAGAGTTATCTCCCTTCCCAACAATTTGATCAGCTTGTCAGTAATCTCTCCTCATATTGAATTGTAGTAAGATACTGATATATATGTACTTGAGCCATATCAATGCATGTGTTTGTATGATTCAATTGTGTCATCACTTCAGAAAATCCAAACTAACATTTAGTGAAGACTAACAGTCTAGGTTTCTTACTGTAGTGTTATACCATGTGAAAGGATATGGCTGTCACAATTAGGTAACCTAAGTGTAGTGTTATACCCTGTGAAAGGATATGGCTGTCATAATTAGGTAACCTTAGTGTAGTGTTATACCCTGTGAAAGGATATCACTGTCACAATTAGGTAAACTTAGTGTAGTGTTATACCCTGTGAAAGGATATCACTGTCACAATTAGGTAAACTTAGTGTAGTGTTATACCCTGTGAAAGGATATCACTGTCACAATTAGGTAAACTTAGTGTAGTGTTATACCCTGTGAAAGGATATGGCTGTCACAATTAGATGACCTAAGTGTAGTGTTATACCCTGTGAAAGGATATGGCTGTCACAATTAGATGACCTAAGTGTAGTGTTATACCCTGTGAAAGGATATGGCTGTCACAATTAGATGACCTAAGTGTAGTGTTATACCCTGTGAAAGGATATGGCTGTCATAATTAGGTAACCTTAGTGTAGTGTTATACCCTGTGAAAGGATATCACTGTCACAATTAGGTAAACTTAGTGTAGTGTTATACCCTGTGAAAGGATATCACTGTCACAATTAGGTAAACTTAGTGTAGTGTTATACCCTGTGAAAGGATATCACTGTCACAATTAGGTAAACTTAGTGTAGTGTTATACCCTGTGAAAGGATATCACTGTCACAATTAGGTAAACTTAGTGTAGTGTTATACCCTGTGAAAGGATATCACTGTCACAATTAGGTAAACTTAGTGTAGTGTTATACCCTGTGAAAGGATATCACTGTCACAATTAGGTAAACTTAGTGTAGTGTTATACCCTGTGAAAGGATATGGCTGTCACAATTAGATAACCTAAGTGTAGTGTTATACCCTGTGAAAGGATATGGCTGTCATAATTAGGTAACCTTAGTGTAGTGTTATACCCTGTGAAAGGATATGGCTGTCTCAATTAGGTAACCTTAGTGTAGTGTTATACCATGTGAAAGGATATGGCTGTCACAATTAGGTAACCTAAGCGTAGTGTTATACCCTGTGAAAGGATATCGCTGTCACAATTAGGTAACCTTAGTTTCCTTTGGCTATTAAATTTTACCTATCAAAGTAAATATGTGATGGTGAAATTAAAGTGCTTTATTGTGGAGTGGAATAACAATGTGTACACTAGTGTATTTTGGTATGTGTTGATTACACTAGTGTATTTTGGTATGTGTTGATTACACTAGTGTATGTGGGTATGTGTTGATTACACTAGTGTATGTCGGTATGTGTTGATTACACTAGTGTATGTCGGTATGTGTTGATTACACTAGTGTATGTCGTTATGTGTTGATTACACTATTAGTGTTGTGTTATACCCTGTGAAAGGATAAATGTCACAATTAGGTAACCTTAGTGTAGTGTTATACCATGTGAAAGGATATGGCTGTCACAATTAGGTAACCTAAGCGTAGTGTTATACCCTGTGAAAGGATATCGCTGTCACAATTAGGTAACCTTAGTTTCCTTTGGCTATTAAATTTTACCTATCAAAGTAAATATGTGATGGTGAAATTAAAGTGCTTTATTGTGGAGTGGAATAACAATGTGTACACTAGTGTATTTTGGTATGTGTTGATTACACTAGTGTATTTTGGTAGGTGTTGATTACACTAGTGAATGTCGTTATGTGTTGATTGCACTAGTGTATGTCGGTATGTTGATTACACTAGTGTCTTTTGGTAGGTGTTGATTACACTAGTGTATGTCGGTATGCGTTGATTACACTAGTGTAATTGGGTCTGTGTTGATTACACTAGGGTATGTCGGTATGTGTTCATTACACTAGTGTATGTCGGGATGGGTTGATTACACTAGTGTAATTGGGTCTGTGTTGATTACACTAGGGTATGTCGTTATGTGTTGATTCCACTAGTGTATGTCGGTATGCGTTGATTACACTAGTGTCTTTTGGTAGGTGTTGATTACACTAGGGTATGTCGGTATGTGTTCATTACACTAGTGTATGTCGGGATGGGTTGATTACACTAGTGTAATTGGGTCTGTGTTGATTACACTAGAGTATTTGGGTCTGTGTTTATTCCACTAGTGTATGTCGGTATGCGTTGATTACACTAGTGTATGTCGTTATGTGTTGATTGCACTAGTGTATGTCGGTATGGGTTGATTACACTAGTGTATTTTGGTAGGTGTTGATTACACTAGGGTATGTCGTTATGTGTTGATTGCACTAGTGTATGTCGGTATGCGTTGATTACACTAGTGTCTTTGGGTCTGTGTTGATTACACTAGGGTATGTCGGTATGTGTTCATTACACTAGTGTATGTCGGGATGGGTTGATTACACTAGTGTAATTGGGTCTGTGTTGATTACACTAGTGTATGTGGGTATTTTTTGATTACACTAGTGGATGTCGGGATGTGTTGATTACACTAGAGTATTTGGGTCTGTGTTTATTCCACTAGTGTATGTCGGTATGCGTTGATTACACTAGTGTAATTGGGTCTGTGTTGATTACACTAGGGTATGTCGGTATGTGTTCATTACACTAGTGTATGTCGATATGTGTTGATTACACTATTGTATGTCGGTATGTGTTCATTACACTAGTGTATGTTGGTATGTGCTGATTACACTAGTGTATTTTGGTAGGTGTTGATTACACTAGTGTATTTGGGTCTGTGTTGATTACACTAGTGTCTTTTGGTAGGTGTTGATTACACTAGTGTATGTCGGTATGTGTTGATTACACCAGTGATTATTAATTACACCAGTGAGTATTAATTACACCAAAGTGTACTGATTACACCAGCGATTACTATGCACCAGCTGTGAGACGTGCCTCACTTGCTGTTATATTCCACATATCCATTGTATAGCAAAGACAAATTGACAAGTTTTTGTATTTTGAATGTAGCGCCTAATTGTTTGTCACATGAAAGAGGTTTTATAAGAAATAGGGATGATGATGATTAAGTGGCAGACATATAAGATGTCCTCTTAGGGTGGATTATATGTTTGATAATCCAATGTTCTGTCATTACTATTTGTATTGTGAGGATGCTTATCTAGTATGCTGTATGTTATAGAGATCGCGGTTGGTGGCGATCATGGAAGGATTATACCACTGACCCACTAGTGTATGGGAAGGTGTTTTGGGGTTGTGCCATATACCTGCCCAGTAGAGGAAATATTCACTTCAATTTCATGTAATCAATCAATCCACAGAATAATGACATGAAGAGGTGAATCTTTTTGTATTGCTGTACAGTATATGACATAAAGAGGTGGACCTTTTTGTATTGCTGTACACTATATGACATAAAGAGGTGAACCTTTTTGTATCGCTGTACAGTATATGACATAAAAAGGTGACCCTTTTTGTATTGCTGTACAGTGTATGACATAAAGAGGTGAACCTTTTTGTATCGCTGTACAGTATATGACATAAAGAGGTGGACCTTTTTGTATT